CTGGCTTGCCAAGTTTTTGATTAAAAACCTTACATGATGGTGGTACATAGGGTAAAGGGACTGATTTTTATTGTGTGGCTTATAAACAAGCCCTGAGGACCAAGTACAAAAGTACAGCCCCAAATTCCTTTCTGAGCTATGCACACCCTAAGAAAACTGCTCTGGACACCCAGTCACTAACAGTGTAAGTTCTGGTACATTCACTTGAAAATGTCGTAACTTGAACGTGACACTGTTTCAGCTTCTCTCTCCCATCGCTCTGCACCTGCCTTGCTAGGGAAAGGGCGAGGACTGAGGCTCACAGGTATCGTACATGCTCTTCTCCTTAACAGCGCGTATTAAAGATGGGTTGGCAAATAGGAGACACAGGTAGAAAACAACGGCTTCTGTGAGCTCTGGTTTTCTCCCCAGTTTCATTCTGCAGGCTCTGCTGCGCTTCTCCCCAGTTAGCACAACAAACTGAGGCCACAGTAAAGGTGCTTTCGATGACTGTACAAAAAGCAGACTCATGTCTGTATTCTACCCAAGCACCAGAGCTCTGACTGCCCTAGAATTCTGAACTGAAATAATAGCATGAGAGACATGGAAAGAGTCACCCTGTATCTCTGAAGGTTGGCTTCAGATGCCAAACACTGAGGATGTCCGTGTCCCAAAAACTCAGTAAGATTACGTGAGTTGGTGACAATCAAAGTGTGTTATTCCCTATAAAGGCTGAGTTAGGTCTGCAGAGTTCCCATGTGTCCATGGACCTGTGATTTGGGATTACAGGAACTTTTAAGTATATAACTGAGATCTAAGACTTGATTTGGATAATTTTTGTATTTTAGATTCTCTTTAAGAGTCAATATGTTTTTCAGTGCAGCAAAAGGGGTTTCTTGTCATCCACTTATAAAATGATAAGCAAGTAAAATGTCAAAAGTAATTGTTATGGTTCCTGATACCAACTTGAGAAAGATTAGAAAGAAATGGTAGACTGAAGAGAATTATTCCAAATAGGAGAGCAAGCAAAAACTCAAAATTAAAGCCAACCTCAGAGTGGGAGATTAATATTTTTCCTGATGAACTTGTCTAAGAGAAATTAAAAAGCAAGTTGTATCTTACATAAACACCAGCCTTTGAAAACCAACTGATTACGCTGCCAAATTGGATCCAAAAAGGTCTGTGTCCCCTTTACAGAAGATGGTTACAAGGAGAGTGAGCCCACTCTTTTGAAGTATGGGGAGAACTCTACAGCCATTCGACCCTGATGGCGCCCGATCTCATCTGAAGTATGGGGGAAAGCTGTATGAGTCCTTCCACTGAGAGAGAGAGAGAATGGAACACCCAGTACAAAGCTTCCTCAGAAACTTGAACCTGATTGTAACCCGGGGCTCAGGAACAGGGGGAGCAGCAACGAGGGAGAGGAAAGGCAGAGGGTTAATAATCCTTTGGTCTACAAATCTGATTTCCTAATCCTGGAACTTTTAACATCTGTCACTCATCAGGTGGTGTTTGTATACATAAGTACATTCATATATATATATGCATGTATGTGTGTTTATTAATTCCAGGACAACATCCACACTCTGAAAACCCATAATGAAAATGCCTACGGTCATAACATGATATCGGAGCCAGATTTCTGCTGGAAAGTAGCCTCTGAATAATAGAAAACTTCAACAGCAACAACAAACACAGCAAAGACATTAGATCTGGTTACGTTAAAGACTTCTGCTTAACTGTTAAACTGTTTGCTAAGAATACAGTTTCCAGAAGGGATTAAATACAGCTCATTTCTAATACTAATATTTTGTGGATAAGTAGCAACTAAGGACAATACGGATGAGAAATAATAATGACCGTTTATATACATAAAATGCCTAAGTCAGGGAAGAATTTTCACACACATGACCTTGTTTAAATTCTACGGCAGCACCAAGAGGTAGTAGTGTGTCTGTCTTTTACCACTGATGAATACTCCCATGGAGAGCTTAAATAATGTTATTAGGCTTATCCAATTAGTACATGACAGTTTAAGTCTCTAAACTTCAAATTCAAGGCTCTATTTAATTACATAATGCTCCTCTGGAATTTTTCAGGAACAAATTATAAAGATACATCTCTGACTCATAAAGGAGCCTCATAAATTTAGTTTTTCAAAGAGACAGCAATAAGGACATTGTTCTCATTCATTTTTAGAGGAACATATGTGTCCCTAGTTTTATGCGAACAGGGTGTAAAATGCTATTAATGATTCCAGTTCATGCACTGAATATGGGGTTTGACTAGGTGACCTTTAAGGGACCTTAAATTCTGTTATTTCCAAGCATCTAGAGCAGCGCTATTTAATAGTATTTTTTGCCATGATGGAAATGTTCTATTTCTTCACTGCCCAATATCTGACCCAATAGCCACATGTGGTGAGTGTGACTGAGAAACTGAATCTTGAAATTAAATACAATTAAATGTGATTTAAATAGCCACATGCGATTAGTGCCCAGTGCACTGGACAACACAGATCTAAAGCATAATGAACTATACCATGAACATTCAATATAACAAATATATCCACACAGTTTCAATTTTCTGCAAAGACTGCTTAGTAATAGCTAAATTGTGCTGTCTCCAGACACTTCAAAATAAATTCTGAGAAAGACAGCACTCATGCACAATCAGTCCCTGCCATAGTTCCAGTGAAACAGTGAGGTGCTGATGTGAAGGAGACCCCTCTGCACTGTGATGTGGGTCCCCATCTCCCTTTAACTTAGGTCCCGAGGAACAAGAAGGCGACCAATGTGTTGCTTAGACCACAGATGAGACCTTTCGTTTTATTTAACTGAAGCTGGTAAATTTGTCTTCACTCAACTGCAATATAGAATCTGCAGTCACATGAATACAGAACATTAATAAACAAAGGCACTTTGCATGCCTGCACCTGGAAAGGAGGGAAGAGGGGATGGGAAGTCCTATAAACACTAACAGCCCGCACCGCACAACAGACAAGGTGCGACAATCTCTTTCCACATGGTGACATACTTAGACACAAAAACAAGAGAAAGTCCACAGGGAAGTGGTGGTGGTCTAGGGGACAAGGTCTAAAAGAACCCACGTGAGCCACCAAATCACGCTGAGCCACCTGCAACATGTGACCCAATGCTGGCCAGAAACTCAATGATTAAAAACTCTTAGTGGATTATTTCAAAGCACAACATGAGAGTGAGGAACTTGAACGTACCTGATTTGAAGACATGTTCTCAACTTTCATTAGTGATGAATAGCTCCTAGAAGAAAAGGCACATGTAAAGGGAGGTTATCAAGCTGGTGAGTCGTCCACGAACATTTACCAGGTATCTAGCACTGCTGAGGGTCTTCCAGGGAAAATATAATCCCAGCTGCACTCAAGGAGACTGCAATGGGGCGGTAAATAAGGTGTGCACCACACTCAACAGTTTACAAATGTGCTGGCTCATACTCATTTCATGTCACCTCCAAAGTAACTGAGGAGGCATTATTCAGATGAGGAATTATCCAAAGCCAAGGGCAGTCATGATTCAGAGCTGAATTACACGGCCCAGACTGCAGATGCTACAGGAACTCAACAGAGGGAACGAACGCATCAGTGTGGGAAGGGCTGCTGGGACAGTCCTCTCAGACGAGGTGGAACTGAAACCAAGCTGGGCAGGCAAGTGGGGAGGATGAGCAAGGAGGACTCCGAGAACGGTATGAGCAAAGGCAAAGACGTGGTCTCTGAAATGACACTTCCCACCAACTCAAGTCTGAAAGCAAAGTGGTGGGAAACTGGGCCAGATGGGTGGGGCTCAGTTATGTCGTCCTAATTGTGTGAGTTAGGGCAATGTGGTCACCAAGAAGCCACAATACCCGATGGAGCAGAGACACAGAGACTCACAGGTACTTATTAAACATCCACCTTGTACAAGACCCTGTGCCAAGCCTGGGGAGAGGATGGGATGGGAAGGAATGAGAAAAGGGGACCAAGACAAAGCCTGGCTCCCAGAGAGCTCACAGGGAAGGAAATAAAACCTACTCAGCAGTGGCTACACAGAAGGTTCTATTAAAAATACACAGACACACAGGAAAGTGAGACCACATAATACCAGCATTTAAAAAAGAGTAATCCGCAGCAGACAGAAGAGGGAGAACGGTGATTAAGGCAAGGAGGAGAGTTACTGACAACAGCACTTACATTTACCAAGCATCCTTTACCTGGCAGGACCTGTATCAGGTGCTTCCTAAGTTATTGCTCATCCCCACAGCCACCTCACAAGGCAGGGATGGTATCACGCCCACTGTGCACACCAGACTTAAGGACGCTGGCCAGGGTCTCACACCTAGCAAGTGGAAAGAGAGGTTTCCAACAGGTCTGACTCCCAAGCTCACATCAAGCCATCTGCTCCGGTCCACCCCAATATCCCACCCAGGGTGTTAACGGCTGAGCTGGTTGAGAAGGGATTAAGTCTGAAAGGAATCAACAATGACACCAAGGCTTCTAGCCTGGGTGACCTGCAGGAAATAATGTTCCAGAGAAATGGGAAGATGTTGCAAAGAAGATGTACTTGGTTTAGGACATGCTGTATTTGAAGTGACGTAGAGACGCCCAAGTCAATATGAATTGTAGAAACTGAAGACTGACAGCTAGAGGGAAGGAGACTTGTTACAAAGACAAGGAACTGGGAGACACCCAGAGAGAAGTATTAATGAAGCATGTACGAGTCAGTGGTATTGAGAAGAAATAAACAGATAAGATCAATGAGCTGCAGGAGCAGAAAGAGAAAGACATGTTGATAAAAAAGTGGTTAGAGCAGAGAATCTCACTTCTGACTGCATTTTAAAATCACCTGTGAAGATTAAAATGTATTCAGATGTCCAGCTGTGGGCAACTACAGGCCAGGTTCAGGAACTCATTTGTTCAACTGCCTGCCTGTTTTGGGGGATGCCTCAAAGGAATTTTCAGATTCATGTCCAGACCCAACTCATGCAGTACCCCCAACCAAAAATGGTTTGCTTCTTTCCCAGCATTCCAGAGCTCAAAGAATCGCATCACTAAACACCATTCCATCTCACCCACAGGAACCCTAGCAGCCATTCTTTGCCTTGCCCCTCCTCTCAATCCAGTCTGTTTTTAAATCCTACAATTTTATCCACGAAATTACTTCTCATTGGCCCATTTCTCTCCGCCTCCGTATCACCACCGCAGCCCAGGCTACTGTCATCTGTCCTGTGGACACTCTAGGTCTAGCCACACCCACGTGGCACCCTTGCCAATCATGTGAGCAGAGTGACCCTTCCAGCACACACACCTTCTAACACTACCCCAGACTCCTCGACGACCTCACAACTCTTAGCAAGAAGACAAACATGACCAACGAGGCCCTGCTGGCCCGGCACCCCAATCCCTGTGCCCCCTGGCCCCGCTGCTCCAGCATTTGGGTCAGTTCTAGTCCAGTGCTGCCTCCCACACAGGGCAGTCTCTGCACATAGTTCTCCCTGCCGAGGGCAGTCTTTCCACCCCATCCCCTTCAACTAGCAAAATAGTTTTGATCTTAGCTCAAGAATCACTGCATCAGGAAAGCTAATCTTAGTGCCTTATTCATCCCTAATGTACTGACTGGTCACTCACTTCAGAAGCGAAAGCACTGGGTCCCAGACAAGGAGATACAGGAACGCGTATGTGCCTCTTTGAAGGAGCTGATCGTTAAACAGAGAGCTACAGCACACAGAGCATTATTTATGGAAGGCAGTAGCAGCGTGTGCGAGAGAAACAAAAGGAAGGATGATTAAAGCAGTGACCACATGGTCCTTGTAAGCAGTGGTCTCACATTACCTCCTCTACGTGTTGCTGCTAAACTCTTCCTACAACTTTTCTCCTTCCTAACATCCCAGGAAACCTACAATGGCTCCTTGTCACTTACAACATGAAATTTTGGACTAAACAAAACCTTTTAAGTCACTCTCAGTGTACCTGATTTTTCAGTCTTTCATTTGCCTCTGAATAACCTTTATGACTCTGGCTTTGCCAACCTGTTCATTCTTTGCAAGGGACAGCAGAAGCATGGACTTCAGAAGTGGACTTGAGTTTGAGGTCCTGCTTTGCCGCTTATCAGTGATAAGCTTTCACACATTAATCTCCTTTGTTGAAGTAATCTCCGCCCCAAATCAAGTTCACGTCAATGTTCAGACTGACGACACGTTTCCCAGTGACCTGCCATTTTACCTGGGTCTTGTACTTTTCTGACTTCAGTCACCTGAACCTGGGTTCCAATTCTGATCTCTGAGACTCCCAAATTCTCAATTTCCCTATCTCAGGTAGCCACAGGTCCTACCCTTTGTCTTTTCTGATCTGTTACTCATTCTTTATTCACTACTTTCCCCTGACTATTGCTTATTTCCTCTGGTTTCAGTGTTCACATGGTGAGCTTGATTTTGATGTTAACAGATGATTGTTACAACATCACAAAAGCCAAGTAAGTGAATACAAGGCTAAAACAGCAGGTAAGCACTGAGATGAAACTGACTAGGACACACTGAGGAGCCACGGACACTCGTCCCCAGCCTGCGTCAATAAACGATGGTGTCCACTGGGACACTCACAGGCACCTGCCCAAAAGACTCTCCAAAAACCAAAGGGAGACTGAGCAGAAGCTGTTCTGCTTCTCTGCTTTCCAGAAAGGTCATGCCTAAGACTCCAACTACTTTCAAAAACCTACGTTGAGTCTCTCCCACCATTTTCTCTCACTCTATGTATGGCTACGGTGTAGCAGACAGGGAAAGAAAATGCCGTGTGAAGCCCCCTCCCTACACCTAACCCCACTAGATCCTAAGCTCCCAGGACAAGTGTGAGCTAAAAAACTGTCCAAAAGAGCTAACGAACAAGACGGGTAAGTGAGAGTTAATGTGTGAAGTCTAAGGAAGGGGAACTTTTCATAATAGTTTTAATGAATAAAACGGCTAATAGAAGATGTTAATATTACTACTACCATTTAGCCTTCACACTTTAAACTCCTCCCAACAAGCT